TTCGACTTTTATTTTTAATTTCGACTCCCATTTTAATTTCGACTTTTATTTTTAATTTCGACTCCCATTTTAATTTCAACTTTTATTTTTAATTTCGACTCCCATTTTAATTTTGAAATATCAAAATTTTGAAATGGTATTTTGGGGTCAATTTCAGGGTATTTATATTTCGGGTTTCGGGTTCCAAAATAATTTTGCGTGCAAGTATAGTCTAAACTAACTGATACCTTCTAATGATAGAAGACCAAGCTAATGTCATGTGTCTTTGGATATAGCATATTAAATGCCTTAAAAGAACTGTGAGTTCATTACAAGAAAATTTCATGCATAACAATGGTCAATTTTTAGCTAATCTATAATATAGGAATTACCATTCAGTACAGTGATTCTTTTGTATTTGACTAGTGCTAGGTATATGATAAAGATATCATTTTGTAGAAATTAAAGATATCATCTTTAGTTTGACTTGTTAATTACTATTAAAGCTTATAAATTTTATTTATTTTAATTTTCTATATTAGAAAGTTTTTAGTTTTAATAGATTAACCTGGCTAAGCTGTTTATATGAGAATATATAAAAAGATTTATTATTTTATTGAATGTAACATTTTTAAACTTCACTACTGCATTTTATTGTTTGAAAAATTTTGTAAATCTTTATCTATAGACAAAATTTTCGAAAAATATTCTTTAAATGATTGATCTGGGAATTCGTGAAAATTATGCCCAGGTACCCATGTATTAGTGGTAGTCAGACTAGATGCTTCTATAATATTGCTCAAGTTTTGCAATATTCCTTTTATTTCGGGATTGTTAACTTCATCTATTGCGCTTGAGATTTCTTCGTTAAGTTTTCTGTACTTTTCTCCGTTTGCTAAAAATTTACGAATACGGGTTAAACAAACTTTTTGATTCATTATGTCCGATACTTTTTTGTGTTTACAAAAATAAGGCATTTTATAAGTTTTAAAAATAGGTCATTTACACCAATGAAACGTTGTGTAATAATAAGATATTAAATTCAACATCTAATAAAGTTAAGAAATTACATTATGGATGTGGACAATTGTGCCGAGTGTGGTGAAGAATACATAGGTTTTACTTGGTGCTACCCTTGTCAAAACAAACGTTTTGAAAAAGAATTTGGAAACTGGACAAGTGGAAATAAAATAATTGACAAGTTCCTTCAGAAAACGCAATCTGAGGCAAGAGAAATAGATGAACTTCTTGAATGGTTTCCTTATCAGCAGTTTAAGGATGTAGAATACTTAGCGAGAGGAGGGTTTGGTAAAGTTTACAAGGCAATTTGGATTGACGGTCCCAAAGCGTACTGGAATATAAACAATTGGCAAAAATCGGATAACGAATTAATTGCCCTCAAAAGTTTAGGCTTTTCTCAAGAAATTAACGAAGACTTTTTTGCAGAGGTGAGCTAATAATATATTATGACAATAGGTATACATAATACTTTATTTACCAATTTCTATTATAGATTATGGGATATTTTGAATGTAAAGTCAAATCTTCTTATTTAATTGATTTATGGTAATTATTAGCCTTCTCTAATCCAATCCGTTATATGCAGTAATGAAAAAAAATCGTGAAGGAGTTGATCATCGCATTCTCCAATATTATGGCATTACACAAAATCCGGAAACTAAAGAATATTTGATGGTGATAGAATATGCAATCCACGGTTCTTTGCATAATTTTCTAAGTAATTTAAGTAATTCAGGCAAAGAATTATCGTGGAGAAGAAAACTTGATCTTTTATATAATATTTCCAGTGGTCTTGAATCAGTTCATTTAGCAGGTTTGGTTCATGGAGATTTTCATAGTGGTAATATTCTTGTTCTTCAAATATACGCTGTTATTGGCGATTTTGGTCTTTGCAAATCAGTAACTTCAGTAGATAAAGTTACTTGTGGTATAATCCCATACATGGCTCCTGAAGTTTTACGTGGAGACAAATACACACAAGCGTCAGATGTATATAGTTTTGGAATGATCATGTGGGAAATTTCAACTGGTCAATTACCCTTTTCTGGTTATGCGCATGATGTTCATTTGGTGATAGATATTTGTAAAGGCCACCGCCCCCCAATAAGTGGTTTGATACCTAAATGTTATAGCGATTTAATTTATCGATGTTGGGATGCAAATCCTTCAAATCGTCCATCAATTATTGATATTCATGATATTTTTGTTGGGTGGTTCCTTAAGGATCTTAATAAGGAAGAATTTCAAAATTCTGATGAAATAAGACGCAAATTCTTAGCAGAAGGTACCCGATCAAATGTTGGGATCCATAAAGATGCAGTTTACAAAAGTCGGTTATTGAAATACGACGGTCTTCCAGAACCGTTTAATCAGCTTCCAGGTATTTTGTTTGTAATCGGAAATGTTAAATATAGTGAAACAAACTAAAACGTGATCTTTTAAAAATAGATTCCCGTCAAATTGAATTCACGATGCCTCTGGATTTTTTGTAGATTTTATATCGATTATTGCAGATATATTTATATATTTAAAAGATATATTTCAATATAAAAATGTAATTATAAATATAATCATTAATTTTTAATTAATTCTTAAATTTTATATTGTACATCGTTTAAATTACGTTTTGGTAATAAATTGTATTTATGTAATTTATAATATTAAATTCCCTGAACAACACGAGGCCATCTTTGGCGAATACGTTCAAATAATTCTGGTTTAGTTCGTCTTAATGCTTCTGGATCTTCTGCTAACGCAACAAATGTAGTTGTAACTCCAGAATCAATTGCATCCGTTACGACAACCTAATTTAAATGAAAATTAATTGATGAATATAAAACTCATGTTGACATAAAAATATATGAAAAAAAATATAATTTCTTACCATCATCATAAATCCAAGTAAGAAGCAAATTATGACAAATAGTAATATTAAATTATTATTATCTATAAAATCGGGTTTAACAATTTTGATGTAACCGAATCCAAATAATGCGCAAAGAACGCCAATAAAGAAAGCACCCATCACCAAAACGTTTCCAATAAGATTATCATTTATAATAGCTTCAACACCACGATCTTTAATTAAAGCCCAGGTGTCTTTGGCAGCACGACAATATGATTTACCATATATGGCAACTATTCAAGGCAAAACCAATAATCGTTAAATAAGAGACAATAGGTAATAATTAAATAATATAATTATGAATGAATAAAATTACCTTCAACATAAGCATAACGATTGAAATATTCAACCAGAGGTTCAATGCATGCTAATAAACAAGCAAAACATGCAGCGATAAAACCCAAAGCACCTTCATCATTTTCTGCAAGAGTACGAAGAATAACTCTTACGGTATTGATTAATGCAATAATCAAACTCCCGAAACAAATACTACCAAAAGAAGTAGTACAGGCACGTTTCAATGAGCTAATGGTGGGAGCTGAACCAATTCCTTGAATTGTACCTTCAAGGAAATAATATGCAGCGTAAACCCCAGAATCGGTAACATGAACCAGAGTTTTGATGACTTGACTTGTCCAATAGAAACTAAACACCATAAATACTAAAACTATATAAACAGGTGAAATATTATTGCATGACGTTGTCGATTGACCATTTTGGGTCGTAGTTTGACATTCAGCTTTGGCATAAAAATATTGATATCTAAACGTAAATAGAACGGTTCAATTAAAAACAATTGTTTATTTGGAAAAATCGTTCATTTAAAAATCTAAAAATGAGACTTACGCTCCAATTATACTCACTGCCCACCACACAGACCATGCTACTTGTAATATTAAACCTACGAATCCCATTATAATTGTACCATAATACTTTTTAGTAATACTTATTACAGTTTCTAACATTATGGCTGCAAAAGGAATTCGATCTCTCCAAGTAAATGCACATATTAAATACAATATTCCAAATACACCAAATAGAATAGCCTTGAAAAGAAATAAATTAATAATTTAGCGAATTATTTTAGATATAAATTTTTTTTTTTTAAAATTTTTGACTTACCAGTACATATTGTTTATAATAAACGTAGATGGCCGCCACAATGAAATAAGTAAGGATTGAAAGATATAAAGTAATTTTGATTAATGGTTTGGGAAACCGTTGCGCAAAGATCATATAGATAAGACTTAAAAAAAATCCAAGAACACCAGAAACAACCAGTAATGATATAGTTTTGGAATCCAAATTAATATTGGAATTACTATTGTTTATTTCATTATTTGTCACGAGTTCCTTTATTCCAATGTAACTAAGAACAACAAATCCAACAAAATGAATAAAAAACAATATTGCGGCCCATAAATCTATTATATAAATAAAATAAATAAAGCATTTTAATATTTAATTTTCATATATTAATATGTATTAATATAATAATTAAAATACCTTGATATTTTGGCTTTGGGTTCCATTTTTTTCCTACTTTACTATCAACAGGCCCTTGGGAATATTCATATGTGGGTGGTTGAGAATGTGAAGTTGCATACTCAGGGTCTGGAACTGGGAAATATGTTCCTGAAGGAGGTGGAGGTTGACTCATTTTTACAAATTAAAGATCAGAAATTTAGAGAACAAACTAGTTTTATATAAAAATTATTTCTATAAATATATTGAGAATGAGGCTAACTAAGTTAATATAAAAAAAAGCCACATGTTTGAAAGAGGCTGTATAAGTCATATGTTAATTAATTATTAGGTTGGGTTAATTTCAGGATTTTTATATTTCGGATTTATTTGGTTTCCTACCACGGCCTTCCTTATCATATGGTTGACTACGTTTTGAACTCATTTTATTTTTAGAATCGCATGCTTTAAATGTATTTCTTAACTGTTTACTAGTTATTTTTGCACGTTCAGTTAACTTTTTACGCGCAGTTTCTTTTTCATTTTTTTTTATATAATTATTATTGGTTCTTATAAACCATCGATTAACGTCATGAAGCATCATATTTGTCCAAAGTGATAGCCAATTTCTTTGTTTTTTGTCTGGTCTTTGGAGATCATTATCAAGCAAATATTTGATGAACCATAAAGTAGCCATTGGGTCGGTTTTTTGACGTTTAGAATTTTCTCGCTTAGGATCTAAATTTTGAAATTCTTTAAATAAGAAAGAAGTGTTTTCTACAAATTCTTTATGTTTTGAGAAAATATGATGCACGAGCTCCACTTCTTTGTTGCATAGATCTGCAATCTTTTTTGCAAGTGTGGTAATAACAAACTTCATTTCTAGATCTAATTGTGTTTCTAAAGTTAAACTATTAACAGATTTTGATTCCTCTATCAACTCAGAAACAAGTCGCATAATATGATTTTCATCAGATGACATGTAGAGTTTATCTCTAATGCTAATGAGTTTCATGGAAATTTGGTAAAGAGGATCAGAAAAATTGTTATTTTCGACTGAGGTATTACTACCTATGGGATTGCGTATTTTCGCATACAATTCTTGTACATTTACTTCATTGTAATTAAAGTGCGAGTGAGATTGAAGATTATATCCGTTATGTTGTGTTAATTCTGAATTATAAGTCGATAAGTCTACCCGATTAAAACATGAATTACTTTTTATTTCATTATTTTCTAAAGGTAGATATTCGTTCTCGTTATAATTTTGAAAGCTATTTTCATCTGGAGAAAGAGTTCTGGATTTGTTATTTGACTCCAGGTTAGGTGCGAAAAATTGAGATTCCACATCAAACAAATTGTGTTGATGGTCCCCTGAACGGATAGTCCTAAAAGATCTAGTAGCTAGTGTGTACGGATGACTCCTATGTGAACGATTCTGTTTCATGATATACAAAAATTATTTGGTAATAAAAAGGTAAGAGGATAAAGATGCTTTATATATTTTCGAAAATATTATTTGTGATGTTTAAAAACAATACATTATGTTATTGCTCCAGGTGATATATGTGATATATTATATGCGTGTCACAATTTGAATTTATATAAAGAACTTACGAAATACAAATCATTTTGTAAAATACTTAACCCTTGAGAACTTTTTTTCAAAATATGATGTCATCTATTCAAAAAAAATTTATTCTTGATAATATAAAAAATCATTTATCGAGGATTTGCCGACCTTTTCATTACAGCAATTCACTTGACAATATATCACAAAGTCCTTTTCGCCAACAATTATTTGATATTTATGGTTATAGCATCGATTCCCAAAAAGACGAGTCAACGTTTACCAGTATTTTTAAACATCAGTTATCAAACGAATTATTTGCTATTGATGATTGCGAATTAGAAAAAATTGTTGATATTGGTTCAAAAAAGCCGAACAAAGTAAAGTATAAGGAGGTTATAAACGAAATTAAAAATTATATTGAACAAAAATGTCGAGAGCATAAATTGTTGGCATTACGGAATTATTTTATTTTACCAGCCGCAAGCAGCTCTCATTTGAGTATTATCTTAAGGAAAATAAATGACATATTCAAAGATATGTTGTTCGATTCTATTCGCATTTTACAAGTTTCTGTTAAATTTCATTCTTCTAATTTCTTGGTTATCGAAAAACAGATCAACACACGTTTCGACGAAAAAATTTTGCAAGTACTTGAAGCCTACTTTAATGAAAACAACCGACCCGATAAATACAAGAAGGGATTAATTGCTAGACAAACTAATTTGAGTGAAAAACAAGTGGATATTTGGTTTAACAATCGGCGTAGCCGGACTGAGAAAGGCGACACAGATTATGAAAAGTTAACGTACGATTTTTTAGAAAAAAAGTTTGATTGGACAGAAAAATTTACAGAGATTGATTCTGATTCTTTGACATCCAAAGATATGATACAAATTATTGCCCATGCATTTAATTTGAGATATACTGAAGAAGAGGAAACTAGTCAAGCAACTGATGATACAATAGAAGAGTCGGCAAGCGAAACAGTAGAAGTTTCAATTCCTCGTCCAACTCGTTCTCGCGCAAAAGCAGTTAGAAATTCTGTAGCTCCTTATTCAAAAAATCGTCCAAATAAATGTACGCAAAGTGATTCCATTGTTATAAATGAAATTTCCGAAGATATCCAAGTCAATGCACTAAATTTAGGAAATTTAGAAAATTCAACGATTGTAGTTGAACCTGAAAGTTCAATCATTCTAAGAAATTATGAAAAAAGACACCTACGTAACCATTGCCTTGCGGCTAGGAATGCAGCGACACCATATACCAAATCATGTCGTAATAAAATAACAGTTACTTCATTTAGCAAAGATCAAATAATATTTTCCGAAGTTTCTAAACTTAAACAATTTTCTGTAGAAATGGAATCTTTACAAACTATCTCTCCCAATGAAAATGAAACTCAATTTTTAGCATTAGATTCCACTCAAAATAGAACATCGACTTTAACGAATTTTTCCAACACAGATGACTTTACATCTCAATATTTTAATACTGATTTTAGTCCATATAATTTTATATCAAGTGAAAATACAACTTTTGCTAACGAATTTGCATATAATAATGATTTTAGTCAAATCGAATTTATGGCTAACACAATTGGCAATGAAGAAAGCTTTGATTATAACCGATTTAGCATCATTGAATGATGAATTCATTTAACATATTTTTTTCGAGATTCGCAATTAGTCTTAGAAATTTATTTAAATAACTTTTTACACTTTCTCTTCGCTGAGCGCAGGATCAATTCATTTATGATGTAAATAAGAAATTTTGTAAAAATTGTAGAAAATCCTTTGATTTATTATTATTATTATTTATATATGTATATAATACCTTTACATTAAATAATAAAGATTTATTTTAACAAATTCAAAAATTGTAAAATGGTTATTCAAGTAGTACAAGATTCGGATATTTTGTATTGTATTTGTAATTTAAGCATAATAGCATTTTTCCAATAATAATAATTAATATTTAATAATTATAATTATTACAATACCGTAATTATTGATTTTAAAAGCCTCATTACTGGAAACTGCATCAATCCTGCATACTCACTACAATTCACGACTCTAATATTATTAAGAAATTCACTTCATCACATTTCACTTTAATCACCTTTTTATCACTTTATCACCTTCACCTTATTATTTTATCACAGTGAAACGTTACAAACTTTTCCCGTGATCGTATATTACCTATTATAATCGAATTTCCTATTTTAACAAAAATAACAAAAATGAACATTCTACCGCACAAAAGGTATTTTTATTTTTAGGATCAATTGTTAACCGAAGTCAGTTAATTAATTATATATTTTCATTACTCAGTTACCACGTTTACAACCTTAAAAATAAAGAACGTGTTCGTAAAGACGAAGAAAAAGCTCAACAGGAAGAAGCTGCAAAAAATGAAAGGAAGGAAATTGCGGTATTTGTATTAGATATTCAGATATTATTATTATTATTATTATTATTGTCATTGTATTGTTTTTCATTACTAAACTTTACACAAATTTTATTTGTTTTAGGAACGTGAACGAAGATTGAAACTTCTTCGTGAGAAAGCAAGTGCAAAACAAAGTATACTGATACAAGGAATGCAAGGAATACAAGGAAGTGCAAATAATCCTTTTGCTTTAGAGACAACAAAGAATGATGATCAAAGATTACAGATTCAAAGTTCGACCGAAACAACTAGCGGTCATATCAATTTTTGGGAAGATAAAGAGAAAGTGAGTTATTCAATACAGTTCAATACAGGTCAATACAGTTAAATATAGTTCAATACAGTTTAATACAGTTCAATACAGTTCAATACAGTCAAATATAGTTTAATATAGTAAAAATAAGAATTATTTAACATTGTTATGACATAATATAGGAATTTGTGAAGACTTTCTCTACCAATCCTGAATATGAATCCGAGAAAAGGGAAAGAGAACAGAAAATAGAGAGACAATATACAATGTATTTTGATGAAGTCTTGAAAGGTAATTTATATATTATTACTATTTATATATTGTTATTATTCATCCAATAGTTAACAATTTTCATAGATCCCAAACCATGGTATATGAAAGTTAACAAAGAAGAAAGATATTCAATAGACGGAACAATTAAAAAGTAATTCATAATTATATTTTATATTTTATGAATAATTACTTTGATATGATTTATTAGCAATTATAATATTATTTATTTCCTTAGAAAAAAAGATGAGGGAATAAAATCATTTGAAGATCCATTACTTACATTGAAAAAAACTTTGGATAAAAAGAAAAAAAATGATGTTATTGCTCAACGTTCAAAGGCAAATATCGAATTATTATTGTTCACTCAACAAAATAATTCCATACCTACTAATTAACTCTATAAAATATCCCAGAACATAAAAGAAATAAAAAAAGTTCAAGAAAGTAATTCATTATTAACAATCGAAGAGCTACGCGCTAAACGACTTGCAAGAGAACACGAGGAGCGATTACGTACACTTAAACTTCTCAATCCTCATATAAGTATTGAAGAATCATCAAAAAATCGATATAATTCACAATTCAATCCGGAAGCTACCGAGGCAGCACATAATATATCTGGAAAGCAACGTAAAGATTACTATCGATCTAATCATAATCACCATCACCATCACTCCAGTAGACATAACAGATATAACCCTTATTAATTCTTATTTTCACGATTTCAGATAATTTATTTATTACTTTCCACTTTTCTGAAAATTAGATTTACATATAGTTGATTAATATTATTAAAATTAGAATTATTGAATTATATTTGAATTATATTTGAATTATTGAATTAATTATTGATGTATTTTCATAAGTTAGGATTATTTTGGAAAAGTTTATATAATCTATATAGCATATATCAGATATACAGTACATATACTTAAAAATCTCAGAAATTAATTAGAAATGCTCAATTTCCTTTTATTCTGTAATAAATGGTCCAAAAAATACACAGTGCTAATCTAAATAAAATAATATTTTTTATTCCATCTCACTATCCAAAAAATACAAATTGTTTAAATACAATACTCCAAGAATATTCAAGAGTATCCAAGAATATCCAATAAAGTCCAATAATATACAAAATATCTAATAAATAAAATAATTCAACCACCAACTAAATTTATAAAAAATTCAACCAATTAATTTAATTAATTCAACCACCAATTAATTTATATGTACAGATTTTCAAAAAAAAAAAAAAATATTATTGCAAGAGGTATCTCGATGTCCATAGAAGTTTATTTGCACTTCCTTTCATCTGAATAATTATTTGGACAGCTATGGCTTTCGAATTTATTGCAAAGTAAGTATGCACAATAAAATAAATTTTGTCCAGTAAGCTAAAAATATGATTGAAATATTTAAAGCGATAATTCAGATAATAACTGTTAATAACCCTAAGATGTATATTCAATAATTATAATTTTCTCTACTGAAATTGGGATCTTGAATAAATGCAGATAGTACTTTACTTCCAGTTTGTATAAGAGGATGACCTGCAACACTATATAAAAATTAAATTAAATTTAAATTAAATTAAATTATAAAAATTAAATTAAATTTTTAAAATTAAATTAAAAAATCAATTTATCTTTAATTCATACATTTGTAAAAATCTTTCAAGTCCTTCCCTACGAGCTTCAATAACTTCATCTGCAAATCGGTTAGTAAAAACTTTTCCAGGTAGAGAAGGAATGTTAACTCGTGATGATTCTCGTTCAAGAACATCACGAAACCATTCAAAATCACTGTATCTCCTCCTGACAGAAGATTGTTTTAATTTAAATGCTGGAATATTTGTCTAAATAATTCAAATAAACAATGATTATAATAATTTATAACTATTAGTATCAATATATTAGGTCTGTGTAAATTAAAGTATGGACCTACTTTTGTATAAACCAATATATTACTTGAGCATTGAGTCTCGCATAATACCGCATAATACTCACCCGACAAACAATTTCATAGTCAGTAAACATTTTCCGACCGTAACCTATTATAAATAATAATATATTTTAAAAAAAATATCTCACTCTTTAGAAGTACTATTATTATCAATTACCATTGTTTGATGCACATACCATGAGTCTGGGGATTTCGTACTTCAATCTCTAAAAAATTCTCTGGTATACCATACATTTCGTCAATAGTTTGTTCTTTCATTTTAAGTCTGGAAGTTGCATCAAAAGTTCTTTGTGCAGGAGGTGAAGTCATCGTGATATAATAGTTTTTCTAGTAAGCAAAAAAGAATATTTTATATATTTAATTAAATCTCCTTAATTAAATTATTTTCTTATTTACTGATAATGATAATTACCTCAAGCCACTTTGTTGAAATTTTACTCTTTATTTGTTGTGTAATTTTGTGGCTGAACATTGTATCACTGTATTCATAGTAAACTTTATACTGTTAACTTGATAACTTCGAACAATGTCAAATACTAGTAAAGCACTTTTTTTGACTGGTGGAGTATTAAGTGGTGTAGGACTTCTTTATGGCATATATGTATTTAGTCAACGATTTGGGAAGACTTCTACATCGAATCAAGGCAACATCGCACCTAATAATGTTTCAACAAATTCTAGTATAGTTGATAAAGAAATCGAGGACGCGACTCGCTTTTATATTGACAACAAAGAAAGTCAAAATCTGCTTAATTTATTGTATTCAATTGCGGAAGATCAAGCCCGTAAAGGTACGTTTTGATACATGATAACTTGTTTTATTTTTTTTTAAAAAAAAAAGAGAATGAGTCTAACCGGTTTTTTTTCTACGTTATATTTTTTTTAGAAGGATATATACATCGTAAGAATTGTTATCGTGTTCATATAACGTGATTATGTAATTAAATCTGATATATATATATATATTTCAGGTGGAATTACATGCAATAATTGCAGCTCAGTATGTTTCAAAAGTAATAAAGATACTATTTTTCTTTATATTTTCAAATCATTTTTATATTAAAGTTTTAACTTCTTATAGTCACCAATTAGAGGAATCCGTTATAAATGTGCCAATTGTGTTGATTATGACCTTTGTGAACTTTGTGAAGGGCAAGAAGTTCATTATAAAACTCATACATTCCTTAAGATAAGAATTCCCATTCCACCTTTAGCCAATCCACGCTCTGCACTTTTAAATGTATTTTATCCAGGTAAGTTATCAATTAGGTTATCAATTAGGTAAAATTAGTTATAATTAGTTATAATTAGTTGTAATTAGGTAAAATTAATTATAATTAGTTATAATTATTTATAATTAATTATGATTAATTATAATTTGTTTATAATTAAAAGAATTAAAAGAATTAAACATTATTTTTTTTATATTATATTTTAATTATAAGGTCGATATACCAACTTTGGAGATCTAGCTCGAGATAGGCTACGTGATTTACAGAAGAAAACACACTGTACGTATGTTGTAATTTATTGTAATTTATGATTTCGAATCTTTATAATTATATATTTAGTTTAATTTGGTTTTAATAACTTTTTTAGTTGACCAGGTAGAACTTGAGGCTCTTTACGATCAATTCAAGTCCCTGGCTACTGTTATACGTGGAGAGGGTGGCATCGATAAAGGAACATTTGAGCAATGTTTGGGTCCTTTAAGTGTAGAACGTAATTTAGTTACAGAACGTATTTTCCAATTTTTTGATCAGGATGGAGACAATATTATAAATTTTAGTGAATTAGTTGTCGGCTTGTCAGTTCTTTGTAAAGGGAATCTTGAAGAGAAGATTAAATGTAATTATATATTATAAGAATAATAAGAATAGAAGAAGAAAAAGGAAAATAACATATATTATATTATATTTCTTGGTCGGTCATTAATAGTTATAAAATTATATAATTTCTTTCTAGATGCTTTCAAAGGTTACGACCTTGATGGCGATGGTCTTATAAGTCGGGATGAGTTACAACAAATTTTTAAGGCATATTTTCATATTTCAACAGAATTAGTTCGAGATGTTGTAAAGGCGATGGAAGAAGAGTTATTAGAAAATTATGAATCCACACCCAGCCAACCTGTGGCGGCGGCTTTTCATGCCGCAATTCCTCCCGAAAATAACATTCAATATATTAATCAAAAATCAATAACTGAAGAAGATAATGATATTATAACATGGAATGAAAAAATACCAGTTGTAGAATGTTTAGGACAAGATGCTATAGATGAAATTGTTGACAAGATTTTTAAATCAATTGATACAAATACAAAAGGGTATATCTCTTATGATGAATTTAAAGAATATGTGCAACGAGACGGAACAATTGTAGCATGGTTTGATGTCTTGGGCAGGTAAGATGTACAATCTATTGTATAATTTATTAAATTAAAATATTACTTCTTATAAATAATATAAATAATATAAATAATATAAATAATATAAATAATATAAATATTATGAATTCCTTCTAAATGTCATAAATTCCTTATTGTTAGTGTCTTTTAACGGTACACATTGATGGTTACTATTGTGAAGTAGATTATATGTTTGATCAAAAGGTTCGTATATCGCATAATACCAAAAAGATGTTTTAAAGTTATTTACAAAAATCATGAGCTTTAATTATATCATGTGACCTTGATTAGATTATAAATTAATTAATGTAACTACATGTATAAATCAATTAATTATAAAAATTCAATGTATTATATAGGTTTTTATAAAAAATTTTATTAGATCAATTTAAAAAATATATTTAATAATTTTATTAATTAATTAATTAATCATCATTTACAACAGTGATTGAACTATTTTCGCTGATCGAAGTTTCAGGAACTTCACTAAGTTCACTGTCAGATGAAACCCCATTTTCTTCATCGATATAGTTGTTGTCAATTAGACGTGACTTTTGACCTTTAGAAGTGACGATGACATCAATTGAACTTCTATTCTCATCTTCGCTCAAAATATTATTATTTATATCATTTTCCTCATCACCTTGTTCACCATCATCATTACTCTGATCATCTATATTTTCGTCGCAATTGTCCTCACTATATTCTTCCTCTTCTTTACTTTCATCTCCCGATTCATCATCATCAGTTAACATTACAGTATTTCTCATTTCCATTGCTTTATCATAAAGTTTTATTGCTTTTTCATATGTACATGTTTGTGGTACTATCTCTAAATTTTAATTATCAAATATTAAAATAAGAAAAAATTATTCTTTGTGAATCATATCATTAAAAATATTTAACTATTCATACCTTTTAAAAATTGGAGATTATCCATTTCTTTTACTGCATTGGCTTATTTATTTATTTATTTATTTATTTATTAGATTTATTAGAAGTTATTAATAGAAATATCTAACACATATTTTTAAAATTATTTCAAGAGAATTTTTTTTTTTACCTAAATCTTGATAATTCACATTTTTTCTATTTTCACTTTTGGCTTGTTCTAATCCTTGTCTCATAAAGTACTCTATAAATATTTCCTGTAAAATGCCAGTTAAGGTTTAATATTGTCACGTGGTGCTGCGTAAAATGTCTCTTTCTCATTAATTTCATTAAATTATTTACCGCTGCAACAGTGATTAAAAAAGTAACGTCTGCACCACAAGTTTTAACCTCATTATCTTCCTTGATTATACGTTTAACACGAGTAACAGGTAATATCGTATTCCCGGTTGGTGATAATGGAGAACTTATATAATATGATGAAGTTCCAGTTGACCCGTTTTTATATGTCATCTTTAAGAAGAGAATAAATGAAAGAGCTTAAAGAAAATGAATATTCGATCGACTATTTTTATGTTAGCACGTGTAACCTTATTTACTAATCACAGTAGTAACACAATTTATTCTATTATATTATTTATTATTTTATATTATTTCTATTATTTCTATTTCTATTTATCTTTATTTATTTTCAACTTTATCTTTCATAACTTGAAATTTTTATATAAATTATCATATATTCTCTATTATTTCTATTAAATTTGTCTTACATTTTTTTAAAGTAAACTTAAATTAATAATTAAATTTTGCTTCGCTATATATATATTATTTTATAGTTTAAATTAATGATATAACTAAAAAAAAAATTTTAATTAATTTAAAGAGTTTTCATATTTGTTGAATGCAATAAATTAAAATTTGTTAATTAACAATTAGATTTAAAAATGAGAAAAATTCTTTGTAAATTTCATATAATAAAATAATAAACAATAATGAGCAGATTTAGATCCAATTTTTTGTTTTAATTATAATTACAATTAAATAAGAAATCATTGAAAGGAAAATAATAGTATTGACCAAACATCTTTTAGCCCAAAATCTATTATCTGAATAATCTGAAAATAAATAAAGAGTACCAATAAACCAAAACGGCCAAAAAATGTAACCAAAAATGTAAAGTTTTTTAAGTCTTGACCATTGAATTTGTGGTTGTTGAATTAAAACTAAATATGAATCAATTATTGAGTTGTGATAATTTGGAGGCGGATCTTTGAGAACAGATGAATAAGAAGGTAAACATTCTGTATCAATGATAATGAGTGAATTTTCACGTGAAGCAATTGGTAATGGTTGAGTGATAATGACAGTTTCAGTATTTTCAGTATTTTCAATAAAATTATTGTGTTGAACAAAATCAATGTTATTTGCCATAAGTTATATAATAAGTTATTACATTGATATATGTTATGTTTAAACAACAATGAAAATGATTAAAATTATTTTGATTTGGATTAAATAATTGCAAAATTTATTACGGAATCTGTTTATTTATAAAAATTTCAGATCCAACAAAAATAATTGATGAAAAAAAAGAACAAATATAATATAATAATTATATTAAATTATCGAAATCTTTGTGTACAATGTAAAAATTGTTGACAAAGAGTTAAATAGAAATAACACACGAAAATATACATATCTGAAACTTAATCTTATTACAAATTTCGATTATTTAAATTATTTGAATTATTAAGAATGATGAATATACGCGAAAATTTCTTCCAAACTATTTTATAATAAAATTGAGCATAGTTCATTAATTTTACATACATGCAATTTTAATTATTTTAATTTCTAAGCCAATCATATTTAAAGTCCTTGTTTATTAACTCTCCTTTATAATATTAATACGTATAAAATAATAACAAAGAAATCGTGTGTGACAATATATTAATAAAAATAATTTTAAATTATTTAATGCACATCCACCACGTTCTTCTTTGGAGTCTAATTTTATACAAGAAATAAGAAATGATAAAAATAGTCATGCATTTATTTGCTATTTTCAGAAATAATTCATTCTTATCTTTATTTACAAAATAATGCTTTTTTCACGTGAAATTATATAAAATTTTAGATCTAAGATCTTGATAAAATGAACGAGTCGAAAAAAAAAAACAAACTCTAAAATGTTTTGCCAGATCATAAATTCCTTTTTAAAATCATCAAGAGTTAATGTAAATAATTTATCGTTATCTATTCGTAATTCTTACCATTTACCAAATTTGATTATCAGAAAGGGATTTAAAACCAAGATAATTGTATCATCAAAAACCAAAAATTCAAAGCATGGCAAAAATTTTGATGAGAAATTTGATTATAATAAAGATTATAGTAAAATTTATAATAAAGTTTATAATAATAATAATAATAATAATAATAATATTAAAGATTATAATAAAGATTATGATCAAAAGTTCAGTGGTTCTTATAACAAGAAAAGTGATAGTTTTCCTCAAAAAGATAATTCTTATAATATTAATACTAGAAAGAATATATCTGATAGAAATATTGATAACCCTTATAATATTTACAAAAATCATCCCACAAAAACTTTTAATAATTTCAATAAGGAAAGAAATGTTTCGAAAAATACACGAAATAACAAAAAATCAGAAATATTTAATTATTCCGACAAAGATTTTGTTGAAAAGAATGAAAAGAAAAAAAATATAAAGTCCACAGAATTTAATATATTTGATGATAAAATAAATGTTGAAAAAAATCATTATAATTCAAGAAATAATCATTCTAATGAGTCTAAAAGAAATTCATTTTCAAAAAATAATGATGTCAAAAATGTATCATACAATCATGATAAACGTGGAGCTTTAATGCAACATCAGAATCAAGAAGACAATCTTTATCATACGCGGGAACTAAGACCAATGAAATCTTCTCCACATTTGGATAATCGAGAAACAAATTCAATTGATACTTCATCTAGTGAAAATGTTTCAATTCGAAAAAAATCGACACGTACGCGTGAACAAATATCAATGCATTCTTCTTCACGCTTTGATAATCAAGGAACATATTCAAATAATATTTTATCTAATGAAAATGTTTCAACTCGAAACAAATTAACGCGTACACGTGAACCAATATCAACTCAGTCTTTTTCATACTTGGACGATCAAGAAATATATTCAGATAATACCAGTAATGATGATAAATATTCGTCATCTATTGGAAACGTTTCAATTTATAATGACAAGACATCGCAGCAAAACAGATTAACGTCTCCTTCGCGTTTGGAAGATCAAGAAACATATTCAAATAATACTAGTGATGATGATAAATGTTTGTTATCTAGAGAAAAGGTTTCAATTCAAGATGACAAGACTCGATATAAAAACAAATCAAACCATGAAAATAACCTTCGTGAAAATAAAAGCAAAATAAAAGAGTCTGAGAATGCAAATGAATCAGACGACAAAATTAGTACAGAAGAAATTATCGGATTGCCATTACAAAAATTAACAAGGAAACAGAGGCAAAGGATACATAATAAACCAAAAGATAAAGAGAAAATTTATAATAACTATATTAAAGTGAATTTTAAATTACTGGAAGGTTAATATTTTGTTTCTTTTTATTCATTCATTATAAACTTAAAAAAAATAATAATAATTGTTATTTAAACAATAATTTCTTAAGACTTCCCTAAATGGTTGAGAGGATTAAAATTACAAAAATTTATACCGATTTTCAGTGGAATGCATTGGACAAAAATCATTAATTTAACGTGGGAAGAACTAGAAGCGATGGGTGTTTATCAATATCAAGTTAAGAAAAGATTATTAGTGTCGTTTGAGAACATTAAAAAAGCTGGGGTAAGTAAAGAATTTTTAGATTTATTTTTTTTATAATATATATTGGATTCACTTATTATTATGAATTTATTTTTATTTAGAAAGAACGAAAAGAAAATTAACTTTAGGAAGAGAATCTTGTAATTTTTATATTCAATATTTTACATAATGTGATATATTTAATTTATGAAATAATGTACAATTTTCCTTTAGAAATTCCAGAATTCCAAGGATTTTTTTTTGTAACAATGAGAAACTCAAAAATAAACTTTACACATTAAAGACTGTTCTATAATAACATAATAATGCATTAAATGTTTAAAATATTTAAATAGTTTAGGTCAAATCATGTGATATTAATGGAGAAAACTCAATTTTGTATTATTTCTTTATTCGTTGGTATGCGACCAATAGAAATTTGCAATATATTTAATATATTTACTTGTCATTAATTATGCATAATTACCAAGAACCACTCATTTTAAATTAATATATTTAATGCATATGCAGTTAATGAATATATTAGAACTTAAATATATAATCAAATGTAATCACGACAAAAAAAAAAAAAAATTAAAGGACACTTTTTTTTCAAATCACGCACCTTTAAAACCTATACATTCTTTTCTCTCAATAATATCTACCACAATATTTGTTTTTTTTTGCGCACGATTAGAAACAAATAATTGATTTGAAATCAAGATCAAATATATAAATTTAAGGTTTATAAGAATATTGATCGGTTATGCACAAAACAAATAAACAAATAAACCCAATTTAGCTTTCGCATAAAATAATATTGCTATATTTATGAATTAATCTTGATAAACATAAAAAATGAAGATATCTCTTCGATATGGTGTATTAATATTATGAATATTTCACAAAAGAAATGAAGCACATAATTACTTTGTGTTACTAGCTCTCACTAATTATTATTATTGAGAGAAATTTAATCAAATTATGGATAAACAAATTTTTAACACAAAAATATAGTTTCTCCAAATTCATATAAATATATTATCTGTTTTCTGACCTTTTAATTTATGTAACATTATAATTTTCTAAGATTAAGTAATTATTATTCCCAAAATGTGAAAAGAGAATGGACAAAGACTCTGTAAGTGGAATTATTATATTCTACAAAATTTTTTTTTGCACTAATTAATGTTATCATAAATACTATAAATTTATTTTTTATACATTTTCATTTTCTAGAAGATTTTATATTCAGACTCATTATCTCATTATTGGAAACATTCCAATTTTTACTATCTTTTCTTTCATTCTACAAAGATAAAAAAAAAAATCTCAATGCCTATTTTAATTCCAAATCAAATTCACTCATTTCTTTTTTTTATTTTATTTTGGCCATTATTTCCACTATTTTGCACCTTATTAAATTTTATTAATTTATTTAATTGTGTTTATTTCTACGGGGTTCTTTAAATTTTTTTAATTAAAATAAGAAAATTAATACCATTTTTTTTTAATTATATATTTTTTAAGTTATTATAGTAATTCTATATTTTATGTTGTTATAAAAATTATTGTTTCTATTGTCACGATAATCTTTTATTCTCGTTTTTGATGCATTTCGTATTATAAAATATTAATTTTTTTAAAAGTAATATATTTTTATAAATAAGTGCAGTATCAAAAATTCAATTGTTTGATTATATGGATTTTAATATAATTCAGATTAAATTTGGTTATTATTACATAAAAGTAATATATTCAACATATTTTTAATTGAGGCCAATCGATAATAGTTGATATAATTTGATCAAACAATTTCTTTTCTTACTATTCATGATAAAGTTAAATAACATAATTTTTGTTATTTAATAAATTATCAAATAATTTTTATATTTTTTATATATAGTCACATTTGTGCTTAAATCTGATATGGATTTTCCGCAGCACATATACTATCACATGATATTTTGATTAGATTATTTCCATAAAATATTAATTTCTGAGCTGAAATTTCTTACCATATCTTGGATTTATAATTGGCCGACATCACATGAAAATATAATATGAATTGCATGAATTTAAAGCTGTTCAATGTATTTATATTTTTTACATAGCAAAAGAAATATTATCCTTTTACAAAATTTATTTACAAGTAAAAAATGATTATATTATATTTACATATTTAAATTGATAGAATTTGGAAAAAATGCAAAAATGAAGAATATAATATGCTAAAGGAAAAATGAATTTAAAAATTAATTGGTAATTAAATAAAAGTTAGTTGAATGAACATTTAGACGAATAAGATAGAGACAGCTTATTACATGAAAATTATATTCGAAATTTTGAATCGGGGTGCGATGGATGGATAAATCAAAAAAAATCAAAGGAAAATTCGTGAAGCATCAAAATTTAAATATATGAACGATCTAATAATTCTCGCAATTAAAAACGATTAAATAAAAATAAATGGGATTGATGATGGGCGCTAAATCTGAATTTAGAGAAACTGTTTGTTTTTTTTTTTAATAAAAAATGAGGAACGGAGGGACTTTAAGAGGGCCATTAATCACTTATATCTAACATACATGTATCACGAATGACGTCACGAACTTATTGTCTGATTGTGGTGTCGTGGTATATATTTACGCATAGAAGGTTTGAAAAGAATTCTACGAATAATCATTTTGATTAAATGACGACGATAACGATGATGTAAAAATTTCTCGATTTTTTTTTTAATAAGTCATATAAGAATTCATTTTTGATTATTTTTCATTTTAAATGCAAATGGCATATGTGTATTTTGAGTATTTTGAGTATCTTTGAGTGTATTTTGTTTATTTTGTGTATTTTTGTGTATGATTTATTATATTTTTTATTTTCTTAAATTTAGTTGAATAGAGATATTTGAAGATGGGTAAAAAACAGATTATTTTTTTTTCAATAGAATATATAATTTGAAATACGAAATTAATGAATTTAAAAGAGAGTAAACAAGGATAAAAGAACGTAAACGAGTGTTTAACGACATAAATAATCACCCAAAGGTTGGATCATTATTTCCAATGTTTTGAAGACACGAGGCATGCCTATTAATTGGAAATTTACATTTTTCAAAGTTTTATTCATACACATTTTATAAAGATTTTAATTTTATCATAATATTTTTTTTTGGGTAATACAAAATGGCACAAAGAGTACAATCTGATTGTTAAATATGTTTTCTAAAAAAAAAAAAAATTCCTTGATTTTTAAAAAATTAATTACTCTGAAAAAGGATAAATTTTTTTTTTTCACCGAAATGTTTATTCCTTATTGATAGGCTTGAGATAATTAACCTTAATAATTTTTTCAAAAAATTAATAATTATACCAATTATACCATACTAGTTTGGGGAAATTTTTCTATGAAAAAAAAAAATATCCTAATTAATTATTTGTATTTCGAATATATTATAGTATTATTGAGTTTCGATTGTTCATTCATGTGTTGCCATGTGTTGCCATTTTGTTAGTCATATTTGGTAAAATTTCATCGATCCACACCTTTATTATTTTTATAACGTCCCGTTTAAAACCCGTTAAAAATATATGACTAATATTTGTTGTTACACGTAAAAAGAAAAAAAAAATAAAAAAAATAAAAATTAATCATAAATATGAATTTGGTAAAATTAAAATGAAAAAAATTTTCCGATTTGACGATTAGAAAAAAAAAATCATTATAAAATTTGTAAATGTTAACAAAAACATTTATATAAAAAGCCACAATGCCTATCAACACATAAGGTTTCTTTATTTTAGGATAAATTAAACAAAATGCATAATTTTTCCCCCCAACCCCCTTTTCATAAATGGAAGATTAAATTAAGTTGTTAGTATGAACTTTATGCATTGTTAATTGCTAACGGGGTAAAATAATATGAACTGCTATTTTGAAACTTGAAATTTTTAGTATTAATTTCAGTTCGAACAAAAATGTCTTCCGGAAAAACAATGATCAACCATTTGTTTTATGAACGTAAATGGAATAATATTAATAATATTGAGAACATAAAATTCAATGGGAATGATTTTGGCGCGGTGTGAGCACGACAGATGTGGTATCAACAATAAATTTTCTTTAAAAAAAGTGAACAGAGTTGCATAGATAAATTTATTGTAGCTAGCTAATAAAATATATTTAAATATATACATATATTATTTAGCGCTTTGCTGTAGTCATAATAATATCACTAATATTACTTACAAATCTTTTATTCATAAAATTATAATTCAATACCAAAAATTAAAATGTTTCAAGAGATGAAAGAGAAGAACTTCGATTCAGTAATTTGAAAAAAAGATTTCTTTGATTTAATGTTTTGATAGCAATTTATTATGTAATATCTTATAAAATAAACCTTTTTGTGTCAAATAATATCCTCTCCTGGCGTTTCTTTTTGCATGCATCAAATAATATTTTATGTTGATATGTTGAAAATTTATTTTTTTTTGATTCTTGATATTTACAATTTCATAAATTTCATAATGAAATTTTTAATATCTAATTACTCGAAAATTTTATGTAATTTTTTTCATGTTATGTAAATACCATATGCAAAATAAAATACAGATCAAAGACAAGATGTATTATTAAAAGAGATTTCAAAACAACAATTAATATTTATTTTTATTTGAATTTGCACCCAGAATATTTTTAAATATTTTTAATCTGGGTAGTATGATTACATATTTAACGTGATTTCATTCAATTTTTCAAAAATATTTTCAAACTATTTTGATACCCATCTTTATAATATTTATATCCTTCAAAAAATAAAAATAAAATGCAAATGAAGCAAAAAATGACAATTTAGAGGGAAGTATGAGAAATTTTTTTTTTAAAAACTTCTAAATAAATATTTAGAACAACAGTCCTACTACAACACTACAACAACATAACCACAACGTATCCTTATGAAGCCCAATCAACAGAAGGGACCCGTGCACTCGCCTATGTTCCTTATGTTGAAGGGAACAGGACATGTGTTTATTAATTTTTGGCCAATTTAGTTATTCTGGGACCTTTCTTAAAGCTCTTGAATTTTTAATTTGAATTTTAAAATTTATACTTCAATCATGATAGTTTTTGCGACTTATGTCATGGGAAACTTGTGTACAAAAATAATCTGAACATGATTCTCTGGATTTTTGTTCAGTTTGAGGGTAATATTGTGAAAATATGTTTGAGGTAGAAGATGTGGGAGAAGAAATTGGAGTTGGGAGAGCTGAAGAAGCACATGATACAGTAGAAGAAGTAAAAGTTGGCGAAACTGGGGAAGAAAGAATATTATAGATATTTGATTGTTGTGGAACAGAACATGATTGTGGTGTAAGTTTTTGATAATTTTGATATGATTTTTTGCTAGGAAATGGTAAGGATGTTGTCTCTGGGTAATAATGATTTAGAATTCGATTATTGATGCCAGGAGCCATGCAGTTGTATTCTTTGTTATATTCCTTATATTCTTGTGAATACTGCGTGGTGTTTCGAGGATAATTATTATATAAATTTTGTGACACATACGTGTTACCCGAATTATTATTGGATGAAGTCGAAGAATGATATTTTTCATGTTGAAGTTGATATTGATAATCGATATAGGTATGCCAAACCAAAGAGGAACCGAGTGCTTTTTGGTTTTTTGCGGATAACATATGACATTGTCGATGGTGTTTTGTCAGATTCGTTTTTCGGGCATAACTAATGAATATATATAAAAAAATAGATTTATGTAATTTCAAAAAATTACAGAAATTTTTTTAAAAAAATGTACTTGTGAAAATAATAGTCTTATTCCTCAAAAGTTATGATAAACGAATTTTACCTTCTTCCACAGCCCTCATACAAACATTTGTAGGGAAATTTTCCTGCATGAATACGTCTGTGTCTCGCCAAAGAACTACTATCACTGAATGCTTTATTGCAATCAGGATACATGCAACGATGAGGTCTTTCTCCTGTATGGGTTCTAATATGGACAGTAAGTGCAGAACGCTATATTTCCAAAAAAAAAAATTTTTTTAGTATCACGAAATTTTATAGATGTTAGATAACAAATAAAATCCGCCTACCTGTATGAATCCTTTGCCGCACCCTGGCTCTGAACAGATGAAAGATCTATTTATACATAATACATAATATTCAAAAAAAAAAAAAATAAAGAATTAGCATGAAGACGCGAATAGACACATGTTCTTGCAGATATAGTAAAAAATTATTTCAAAAAAGAAATGACTTTATTTTTTAGATCAAGTGCATCCTTCACAAACCTTATTTTTGTATGAATTCGATCATGTCTTGAGAGGTCAGATCTTCTAGCAAATGCTTTGTTACAATTTTCCCAAGTACAACAGAAAGGGCGGCTTTCGCTTTTTGAATTTTCTACAGTAACTAATTCTAAAACGTCCATTTTTTTTTCAGAGATGATAAGGTTTATGAAAAATTTCAAGAGATGTTGAAAAGGTCAAGATGGAATTGAAAAAATAATGTTTAAATAGTCAAGTTAGAATTAAAAAAATTGAAATATAACTGAAAAGATGTAAGAAATGAATCTTTTAAAAGTAATTATCTAAAAAGATGAATTAAAGATGAATTGAATGTCAAAAGGATGTCGGTTTTATAGATTTCAGGACGCACGAATGTTTATCTATCGTTAAAAGTGAATTAACCAGACGAAGACAATGAAACAAGGAAATAGTTTATGAATGAATCCTTACAAGTGAAAATCTTGTTTTGTCAAAAATTTTGCATACTGTATTATCCACACATCAAACTAGTTTATTAATGGTTATAGAATATTCTAAAATATTCTAATATATTGAATCTATATAAATTATTATACAATTAGAATAAAAATTTAACTGAAGACATTCATTAAAAATTGAATCTCGTAATTTTGTGATTTTCACGAAAAAAGAAAAGGCATCACAGAATGAAATGAAAAATTGCGATTTTTTATCTATAATTAATGTTTCACATTAAACTATTATTAACCTATTGAACTATTAGTAAATTAGTGCAATATATATTTAAAAAATTAATTATTATGCATAAATTATAAAATATAATTTATAAAAAAATAAATACGAGAGAAATGAATATTTTATTTTATGAAACATATGTTATATCTCCTATTTATATTGAAAATAAAATAGCTCAAGGGCTCTATCCCACTATTATTCTGTCATATTATGCATAACTTTTTATCTGGAATTGTTTTGTGTCTATAAATATTAAAAAAAAAAATCAACAAAAAAAAATTAAAGAAAGAATCAATTCTTTTGGATTACATACGCATACGAAGTGCAATGCATACGCGGCCAATTCACACAGACGAACATTAATTTTTTTTTTTACATTATTGCATTATTAATATATTTTTACAGATACAAAACAAAATATATTTTAGGATAAATATAAAGATTAATTTGGATTTATATTTTAGTTAATATTTTTATTATAATGCAAATTATATAATACAAAAAAAATTTGAGTGATAATCGGGCAGGTGATAAAAATCGGTGACAATTTAATTACACTAAGTGAATGCTTTCATGTATGTACTGTATATGCATTTATATATTAGACACTATTGATCTATTGATCTGAAAATGGAATTATTTGTGATAACTAACAATTGTTTCAAATCTTTTAAGCATTATTAATTTCTTTCCGTATCCTATTCAGTCGGCAGCAAATAATAAATGAAAATAAAAATATAATGGAAGAATAATGAAAGAAAAGAAATAATATAATATAATGAAGGAAAAATTCTTTTTTTAATAAAAAAAAATGCAAATGGTCTTTTTAAATATGGCACATGTTATATTTGATATAAAACGGTTTTTATTTGATTTTATTTATCTTGTAGTTTACATGTCATTTATGCCAAAACGACAACGATAATATTATTGGTTTATACATAACAGGAATGATCTTGTGCTTTTTAAAGAAAATAATTATATATTAATATATCAACGTTAAATAAACATGTTTCTGGAATTCCACTAATAATAGATTTGATTGGTACTTATTATTCAATTAAAATTCTATTTTAGATTTAGCAAAAAAAAAAATTATTTTATCTTTTTGTTGGATGTTGGTTTTTATCATGTTTTTGTCACGGAGTCAATGGCGCATTTGTTTACTGGAATTTATTGACCATTGAAGATGAAGGATTCCGAACTTGAAATTATACATTATGTAAGTCATATTAATATTTTATATATTTCTTCAATATCAGACATATTAATTAAATAATATGTAATATATTATTTATATTACTCCAATATATTATGTTAGTATTGATTAATAAAATAAAAAATAAAATAAAATAAAATAAAAATAAAATAAAATGAAATAAAATAAAATAAAATAAATATTATAGTGAGGACAAATAAATAAAAGATGCAGTCAAATGGGAAATAGGAGGATTTGTTTATTCATTATGCAGGGAGTAGATGTTTGGTTTTTACTTCGTTATTATTTGTCATATATACAAATATTTATGAATATACAAGAGATTTAATTGTTACCAACATTGTTGAACTAAACTGTAAATTAAAAATTAAATGAAATGAGAATTAAAATGGTGAATATATTTAATAAATCGCGGAGATCCGATAATAATGATAAACAATCATGTGAACATTTAAATTAAATTATTAAATGCGCGCTAATAAAAAACCAAATTACCGAAAATTTTATTCAAAGATAATAAAAATAAAAAAAAAATATTAACGAATGATAAAGAATAAATAAATAAAAATAATAAAGAATAAATAAATAAAGAATAATAAAGGATAATAAAGAAGATTAATGAACAGCAAAGGGAATAATTTAATTTTGATAATAAACAATAATAAAGATCGTTAATGTTATTTATCACAGTTCTGTCATCATATAATATTTAATATTGAAAATAAGCCATAATTTTATCATTCGTCACACTCTATTACGTAAATTTGATAGTCATTTTTTATTTTACATTTTTATAAACGTTTAAACTTATTTTAAAATTCATCAAAGTTTTTTATATTTCCAAATTCATGTCGAATAATCATTTTACCATTCAAAGTTCAATTGAATGACCATATTTGTTTGCAACACAATTCGCGCACAGAATCTTTAATCCATATGAAAAATCCTTTACATCAAATTTCTTTGTCCTAAATGCACGGCCAAGTCATAGATACATTCAAAAATATTATTCAACTTTGAATATATTATACAAGATTTATAATTTAAATGCATATTTATGCATCTATTTATTTTAAACTATAGAAGAACAAGTACATTTGTTTGGTGGAATATTCCATAAAGTTTTCAATGAAAAAAATGAAGAATATCAGTTGACTTTAAAAAAAAAGAAAAGAAAAGGTAAAAACGCGGGAAATTGTTTCATATATTATTCTGACTGTCGGACAGTGTGATACTGTATAAGAAATTAAAAAAGGCCACGTAATTAAATATCGCGTAATTAAAAACAACTAAACGTCTAAGCATTATCAGAAATTATTGAATTATTAATAGGAAGAATAATAATATTATAAACACATATTGTATGAATTGCATAATTAATCACGTGTGTATGTCATTACGTTTCATACATGTGTGTTGTTTCATTACGTATGTGACGACGTGTGTTGCATATCCTTTACATTACTACAATTAATATATCAAAAAAAAAATTAAGGAGTAACGAATTAATTAATTTATATTAACAGCATTCATATACTGTAAAGAAATTGTGATTCTCGTGATTTTTATTTAAAATGTTAAATCGAAAGATTTTCGAGAAGTGCTTTTTCATTGGATTAAACGGATACAGATATTTTAATCTTTTTCTCACAAGGGTAAATTATTTGCCAAAGGTTCAAATATTCTTGTGTCAAAACTTTTCATTTCTTCTTTTGACACAATATTGATAAATATAATACGTTAGCGTAATCAATCCAAAATATTTAATTACAATTACAAATATCAATTATGCAATGAATCATAATATTTCAATAAGACCTTGAAACATTTAAAAAGTGAGAAATAAAAAAGAAGGAATATAACTGCTGACTCAGTTAGAAATGAATTGATGCTATACTTGGGAAAGATATCTGTCTAGGAAGATGAATCTATTTCATAAATGGGTAAATTAATCCTTGTTTCAGAGTTTTAAGTTATAAATAATTATTGTAAATGTTATAAATAATTATTGTAAATATTGTAAGTGCTAAAAATAATTATAAAACTAATCTTTTATTATTAATTTATTTAATTTATGTAATATTTTTTTTTTCGTTCATTTTTGGTAACATTCACTCGAATGGTGACGAAGACTTTTTATTATCTTGTAAAATATAAATAAATATACAAAATATTTTAATTTAACAAAGAACATTATTTAGTGATATGATAATATAAACGTGACAATAAGCGTTTATTAATTTAATTTATTTTTATTAATGCGAACTTTTTGGTAATTTCATTCTAATTTTTAACGCGTGATTAATAATTTTCAACGTGTGTACAAGTGTTTTTATTCAGGCCTTTCATTTCAATACAAATGCTAATCGAGAATATAAATACAATCGATATAATACAATTTGGCATGTTATGATTGCCTTTTTATTTTGATTATCGCTCAAATATTAAAAACAAAAAAAAATTTGTTTTTGAATTATTTCTAAACTTTTTTTTTTTTAAAAAAATTAATAATTTAAATCGTGATTCATATATATAATATTGTATCTTTGAATTCCGAAAGGTTAAATTATCGAATAAGACCAAAATAAAATATGATATTCATAAACGCATGCACACATGCTGGATGTTCTGTAAGTGTGGTTTTTTTATGTAAATTAAAAATCAAACGGCTCATTTCTATAATTACTAATTAAAGTTTAAAATAAACATCAAGTTATGCTTAATTTTTATTTTGTCTCAATTCATGCAACTTGAATATTACTTTGATGCTACTTGATGCTGCTTTTGAATGCATGGGGAAGATGATAACCTGTTAGATCTATTTAAAGTGGAATTATTAAATAGAAATAATCTTCCTAATTAGTTGTTACCAAATCACAGTCACGTCAGAATGCTTTACGGTTTTTTTATTACGTAAAATTTTTTTTTAAATTCTGCATTAACAACAAACATTTATAAATTTTATCAAGAAACACAACATTATAATTCAACGCCCGTTCTATTATTATATTTCTTAATTTGTTAATATTGGAAAAGATAACTCAACATGTTTTACTGGCGATCTAATAAAATTTGGCTTTATTGTTTTCGTGATACTCAACTTTCGGGATTCTTTGCGAAAGAAAATTTCTAAAAAATTTTTTATTGATTAAACCATCCAATAAGCATTGAAAAGATTTCATCTATTTTTTTTTTAAATCCAAGTATATT